GCCGGGGGGCGACCCCACGTGGGGGGGAACGCACCTGGGGGGGAACACCCCGGGGGGGGGGAACACACCTGGGGGGGGAACACACCTGGGGGGAACACACCTGGGGGGGAACACACCTGGGGGCACCTGAGGGTGGGGAGCACACCTGGGGAGGGGTGGGGAGCACACCTGGAGGGGGGTCTGACGGGCTCCCCTCCCCCCCTCACCTGCAGGATGTTCCCCGAGCTGAGCAGCAGCGACCTGGAGCTGGGCATCGAGCGGGGGAGGGGCATCCCAGTGCCCCCAGGTGGGAAACTGGGAGAGCTGGGAGTGGGGGAGGGGCTCACGGGGACCCCCGCCCACCCCCCCGTGTCCCCCCAGGTGTGGCCCCAGGTGACCTGGACACCTTCGTGCGCTTCGAGTTCCCCCACCCCAGCGCGGTGAGTGACCCAAAAACGGGTCTGGGACCCCAAAATGGACCTGGGACCCCAAAAATGGGCTTGGGACCCCCAGAAATGGAACTGGGACCCCAAAAATGGGCCTGGGACCCCCAAAAAATGGGACTGGGACCCCCCGACACCCCCAAAAATGGGCCTGGGACCCCAACAATGGACCTGGGACCCCCAAAATGGATCTGAACCCCAAAATGTCCCCTGGGACCCCAAAATTGTTCTTAACCCTCCCCAAAAATTGTCCCTAAGTCCCCCCCTAAATTATCCCTGACGCCAAAAATGTCCCAAATTGTCCCTGACCCTTCCCCAAATTATCCCTGACCCCCCAAAAAGTCCCAAATTCTCAAGGACCCCTCCCCAAATTATCCCTGGCCCCAAAAAGTCCCCAATTCCCGAGGACCCCTCCCCAATTTCCCTGACCCCAAAAAGTCCCCAATTCCCGAGGACCCCTCCCCAATTTCCCTGACCCCAAAAAGTCCCAAATTCCCGAGGACCCCTCGGGTGGGGGGATAATGGGAAATAACAGAGGAAATGACAGAAAATAACAGAGAAAATAACAGAGAAAATGACAGAGAAAATAACAGCGCAGAAAGGGTAAAAAAGGAGATTTTGGGGGAAAAAGGGTGGAAATGGGGGGGTTGGGTGGGGAAATAACAGAGAAAATAACACAGGAAATGGGGAAAAAATGGGGAATGACAGAGAAAATAACAGAGAAAATGCCGGAGGAAATGGGGGAAATGATGTGGGAATGATAGAGAAAATATTTTGGGGTTATTTTGGGGTTGTTTTTGGGTTATTTTGGGGCTATTTTGGGGTTATTTTTGGGCTATTTTGGGGCTATTTTGGGGTTGTTTGGGGTTATTTTCAGGTTATTTTGGGGCTGTTTCGGGTTATTTGGGGCTGTTTTGGGACCGTTTTGGGGTTATTTTGGGGTTATTTTAGTGTGGTTTTGGGTTATTTTGGGGTTATTTGGGGTTATTTTGGGGCTGTTTTGGGGTTATTTTGGGGCTATTTTGGGATTATTTTGGGGCCCTTAGGGGGCTGGTTTGGGGCTATTTATTTGGGGCTGTTTTGGGGTTATTTTGGGGCTGTTTTGGGGTTGTTTTGGGGTTATTTTGGGGCTGTTTTGGGGCTATTTTGGGGTTATTTGGGGTTATTTTGGGGCTATTTTGGGGCTATTTTGGGGCTATTTTGGGGCTGTTTTGTGGTTATTTTGGGGTTGTTTTGGGGTTATTTTGGGGCTATTTTGGGGCTGTTTTGGGGTTATTTTGGGGCCCTTAGGGGGCTGGTTTGGGGCTATTTCTTTGGGGCTGTTTTGGGGCCGGGCCCCGTGCCCCCTGACCCCCACCCGCAGGGGGCTGTTCCGGCCCGAGCGCGCGCTGGGCTCGGCGCTGCTGCGCCTCGAGGGGCTCGAGGGGAGCTGCGAGCTGCGCCAGCAGCTGGAGGTGAGCTGCCAGATGTGGCCCCGCCCCTTCCTCGGGGTTCCAGATGTGCCCCATCCTCCATCCCGAGCTCCCAGATGTGCCCCGTCATCCTTCCTGGGGATTCCCAGGGTTCCAGATGTGCCCCTGCCCCTGCCTGCGGGTTCCAGATGTGCCCCATCCTCCATCCCGGGGGTTCCAGATGTGCCCCCGCCCCTGCCTGGGGGTTCCAGATGTGCCCCACCTCCATCCCGAGCTCCCAGATGTGCCCCATCATCCTTCCTGGGGATTCCCGAGCTCCCAGCTGTGCCCCTTCCCCCGTCCTGGCATTCCCGAGCGTTCCCCTGGCTCTCGTTGCTTCTCCCAGCGCTTCCCAGCACATTCCCAGCCCCACCATCCCCACCATTCCCACTGCCCCCGTTTCCAGTCCCACCGTTCCCGTTCCCACCATTCCCGTTCCAGTTCCCATCCCCATTTCCCCCGTTCCCGTTCCCATTCCCGCCCCTCACCCGTGCCTGTCCCCGCCTTTCCCGTTCCCATTCCCATTCCCGTACCCGTTCCCGTTCCCATTCCCCTTCCCATTCCCGTTCCCGTTCCGGTCCCGCCCTCACCGTGCCCTGTCCCCGCTGTTCCCCCCTTTCCCATTCCCGTTCCCGTTCCCATTCCCGTTCCCATTCCCGTTCCCGTTCCCATTCCTATTCCCGTTCCCATTCCCATTCCCATTCCCGTCCCCGTCCCCGTTCCCGTTCCCGGTCCCGTTCCCATTCCCGTTCCCATTCCCGTCCCCGTTCCCATTCCCGTTCCCGTTCCCATTCCCGTTCCCATTCCCGTCCCCGTCCCCGTTCCCGTTCCCGTTCCCGTCCCGGTCGCGGTCCCGGCCTCACCGCTGCCGTCCCGCGGTGCAGCTGCTGGACGGGCGGCGCCGCACGGGCGGGCTGCTGGAGGTCTGGGTGCGGCTCCGGGAGCCGCTGGGGCCGCAGCGGGAGCTGGAGCCGCGCTGCGAGCGCTGGCTGGTGCTGGAGCCGGCGCCCGAGCCCGCCGTGAGTGCCGGGAACACCCCGGGAATTGCTGGGGAGCCGCGGGGAACCACCGGGAACCGCCGGGAACCCCCCGGGAACCGCCGGGAACCCCCCGGGAACCACTGGGAACCCCCTGGGAACTGCCGGGAACTGTGGGGAGACCCGGGGAACTGCGGGGATTGGCTGGGAACACCCCCCGGGATCGGCTGGGAACCCACCGGGAACCACCGGGAACCGCGGGATCGGCGGGGAACTCCCCGGGATTGGCTGGGAGCCCACCGGGATGGGCCGGGAACTGCTGGGAACCACCGGGGATCGCCGGGGAACCACCGGGATTGGCCGGGAATCCCCCCCGGGAAACCACCGGGACCCCGCGGGATGGGCTGGGAACCCCCCGGGAACCTCCGGGATTGGCCGGGAACCGCCGGGAACCCCCCGGGAATCCGCGGGGATGGCGGGGAAGCCGCCGGGAGGCACCGGGAGCTCACTGGGATTGGCGGGGAACCCATCCGGGGTTGGCCGGGAACCCCCCGGGAACTCCCCGGGATCCCCCCGGGAATAGGTGGGATGGGCTGGAAACCCCCCGGGATCCCCCCGGGACCCCGCGGGATGGGCCGGGAGTGCCCGGGAGCCGCTGGGAAGCCCCGGGGGTCGGCCGGGAGCCCCCCGGAACCCCGCGGGACCATCGCGGGGGGCTCAGCCCGGGCCGACCCCGCGCTGCCCCCGCCCAGCTCGCCGTCCCCAAACCGAGCGCGGCTGCCCCGAGGGACGGCA